GTGGGGGGCCTTTCCCCCCCCCCCCCCGCTGATTATGTCTCCCTTTCCAAGTTTCTTCCCTGAATCCCCAGCCCATGCCTCAGACTCCCCTTCCTTAGGGAAGGGTACCAGCAGATGCTCAAAGCTTGGGGACCCCCCCCCAGATGGATAAGGCCAAAGAAGTTCCTCCCGCAAAAATACATCTCGCCTGGGTTTCCCCTTCAGGAATACCTAGCACCCACCCACCCAAACCATGCCTTTATCAGGAAAAGGGTACATGGATTTAGTCTCATTTCAAGCTAACTCTTGGTAGGGTTTTCTGGGCTCTTCAAAGATGCTGGAGTGGGGGTACAGTTGCACTTTTCCGTGCCTGGCAGGCTACCGAGGCCACAGGGCTCTGACCACACAGCCAGACGGGGAGCCAAATAGCCTGGGTTTCTGACTCTGGCGCCATCGGGCAGGGTGACCTTGGGCTGCCTCCCTCATGTTCCCCATCTTCCCCAACAGTGTGGCCCCTGGCCCATCCCTCCCTTTCTCACTCTCTGCCAGGACAGCTGGGCAGATACCATGTGTGAACGGAGCCCTACTACCTTTCAGGGCCCAGCTCAGCCTCTGGGGTGGCAGCTCCTACACTGCTGTCAGTCTCAAGGCTTCTGCCAGAAACCATCTGAGAAGGCCACTTTCCTGCATCTGGTCTCTGGGGAGGTGTTTTCCGTTTTTAGTTTGGATAGGAGTTTAGCAAGGCATGGTGGTTGTTTAACCTGTTAGAGGACTGATTGTGTCAGCTTCCTACTCTGTATCCTTCACTGGCTCCCCACTGCCTGTAGGATTAAGGATACACTCTTTGCCCCCTCAATATACAAGGCCCTCTGTGATCTTGTCTCAATCTACATCTTCACTTCTGCGGTACTGCCCCCTCTCCATCCTCCGTGCGTCTTATGAGATATTCCTGCCTTTCTGCTTTTGCACCCACCAGCCCCTTCATCTGGAATACCTTGCCTCCAGAAATCCTTACCTTGCCTTCAAAGCCCAACTGAAACATCACCTCCTCCAGGGAGTCTGCCCAGATTACCCCTTGGCTGCTCATCAGCAGCTCCTAGCCCCCAACAGAAATAATTGGTCTTTTTCCTGTGCTGCCTTGGCCCATCATGCTGCCTTCCCAGCACTCCTCAGGGACGGCAGTGTGTGTGTGAAAGGTATGTGTGGGCATATTTATGGGCGTATCTATACATGTACCCCTCCTGATCCCTACACACTTGCATTTAGGGCAAGAGCCATGTCTTCTTCGGTTTTGCCCCACTCTCCAGTGCTTGACACATAGTAGGCACTCAAAAGAAATGAATGGGGTGTGAAGATAACTCTGTTGGGGGCCCTCGCAATGTCAGTTGAAAAGGGAGCTCTGGGGTGTGAGGCAGAAGAGGGGAGTGGGAGGAGACAGACAGTGACACCAGGAAGAGAGCAAGGGGATGGGGCAGAGTTGTGCCATACCCCTCAACTGGCCCGTACAGGATATACGTGTCTAGGGTGACGTGTTGTAACACGGATGTGAATGTAGCATCCCATGATGCTCCGAATACGTGATCTCAAATGCATGTGTCCTCACCGTTGTGGTCACCAGCCTGGCTTCTCTTCCGGGTTGTGTCCGTGCTCTCCCCACCCCACCAATTACCCAAGTTCTGGGCTCCTTTGGAGATGGAGGGAGGACACAGCAGGAGGACAGGGTCAGTGCTGGCCTTGGGAGGCTCCCTCACTACTGGGAGTGAGGAATGATGCTTCCCCCTTCCTCCTCTACACAAACCCATTTTCCTGGCCACATGGAGCCTTATGCCACAACACAGCCTTGTTAATGTTTAAGACCAGTAGGTGGGGATGTGTTATAAACTTGGTGGCAGAAAATGAGCTGTATTGGAATCCATTCTGAGGATAGTGCTTGGCTGAAGGAGGGAAGGCCACTTTGCGACACTGGGACGGGACCCGGGCATCTCCTGGCCCTCCCTCGGGGCTTGTCTGAAAGTGATAGACCCTAGGCCTGAGATTGGTAGTGAGTGCTTGTGATGCTGCAGAATCTGAGAACCAGAGAGGCACCAGCTCCAACCTGGGGCAGAGGGGATAGGGGGCGGGGTGGTCTCTCTTTGTTGCCCTACCCACAGTGATGGCCGTTCACAACACCGAAGCTAAAAGAGATCACAGAACCTCCAAATCCAACCTTTGTGCAGATGTGGAAAGGGACCGGCCAAGGTCATCCTGCCAGTTCACTCTGGAACCAGGACCAGCACCAGAGCCCAAAGGGGTTTCCTAGATTGGCAGTCTGCCCCAGGCCCCTCGGCAGAGATTCCACCACCTCTGTCATCCCCTCTGTCTGAGGCTTTGGCTTCATACAAAGATCTCTGGTCTCAAACTAGCCTCGGGTCCCAAGCAGTCAAGGTAACCAATCACCAGTAGTGTTAATAAACCTTGCCAAGCACTACAGAGGGCACATGGAGGGGCTCAAAACCTGATCTTCGACTCCTTTTCATGAGCTTGAAGTCCAGTTGGGGAGATGAGAAAAAGGCCCCCATTCTGAAATTCCAGGCGGTCTGGATCCCTGAGATCCATCATTTAGAGGTTCAAATCCTGACTTTATCATCAGCTTGCTGCGTAGCCACAGGACAGTCACCTCCCTCTCCAAGTCTTGTTTTCCTCCTCTGCAGAGTGAGAGGAGGCAATGCCCGCCAAGCCCCCTTCCAGCTCACTTGTTCTGCCACAGAGAAGCCTCTTGTCGCCTCCCTTGTCTCTCCGCCCCACACCCATGCTCCTTCCACAGAGGCCAGCCACAGACGCTAGCAAATGGATATGATTCTTCCTCCCCGTTCCCGCCCCGGGGTCTTCTTTACTTCTTCTTTGACAGTGCTCAGCACAGAATTTTAATAAGAG